CCCCCCCAGCTCCTGCTCGCAACCAGAGACTCCCAGCTGGGAGATGGGCCACAATCAGCCCTGGGAGCCTCTGGTCCCATGCAAAAGCCGGGCGAGGGGGGGGCATGGCTGGGAGTCCCAGCCCCCGCCCCGCCCGGCTTTTGCACATGACCACAGGGCTCCCAGCGCTAATCGCGGCCCTGGCTTCTAATTGCTCCCCCACCAGGCTTCCGTCCGGCGCCCAGCCGGAAATTCAGAAAATATTGGACATTGCACATGTCCAGTATTTTCTGAATTTTTCTACCAGACAGAGGGCACAAACACCGGACTGTCCGGTAGAAAGCCGGACACCAGGCAACCCTATTCACCACCTAGTGAAATAGTTTTTCCTAATATCCAACCCAGACCTCCCACACTGCAACTAGATATGAATGTGAAATACATCTTACCAGAAAGCTCAATCTGTCTCTAGTTAAAGATTTCTTAGAAATCTTTAACAAAACAAAACAAAAGTTGCAAAATTTTCCATAGCCTTAAGCTTCCAGTCTTCAATACTTTATACATTCAAAGAGTGCCAGTTAGTTGATCCCTTCCTTACAGATTTAATCATTTTGGTTAATCACCATTGCTCAAAAAGATTAGCCTTATATTCAACATGCAAAAAAGTCTGTGTTTCTGTTTAATAGAATGAACAATAGTTCAAGCCATACCCCATGATTACAAGGCCCTGGTTGTAGAAATAGAGCAGTTAAACAAAGCCAGGTAAGCTATTAAAGGAAGTGATTATAAATAAATGTTTAATGTATGTTTAAAGAGTAAGTAATGTTGAACTGTATTTCATAATGTCAAGTGCTTATTTTATCACAAATTGGAAGACAACTTAAATATTTATCCAAAATACCAATCAGAAATATTTAGCCTCAATTCCTCTCTCAATGCCATTTGATAAAATTAGTTTTGTCAATTGACTAGTATATTGTGTTTATAAAAACATAAGCGATTACTTTTTTGTAGTTTTCCTGCATAACCCTATATAGTGACTACTATTTACAGAATTCAGGTAATTTTAATGCATAATTAATTGACTGATCTTCACTTTCCTTTGAAGGAAGAAAGCTTTTCCAACTCATTTTAATCACTAGGCTCTCCTTACTAGCAGGCATTAGACTCAAAAGAAGAAAAACAATACACTTTATCCGGAGACAAGCCAATTCTACCTCAAATACATTACTCTCCAACCTCTGCAATATTCACATAGGAGAAAATCAGCAGAACAAACCAGAACTAACGTAACTAAAAATAAATTAGCTACACTACTAAATTGCAACATGCCTCAAGGGATAAGCTAGTCATTGTGTGCAAGCTAAATAGGCACCATCATCTCCTAGTCAACATATAATTTAGTGAACAAGGAACTGTTAGCTATGCCCTTATGTCAGATTAAGCAACTGCTCTCTGTGCTCTGAGCAGCTCTAAACACATTAAAATTCATATAAAAAGAACTGTCAAATACATGCTGAAAATCTTTAAAGTTTTGATGGCTTGAAGATAACAGTTGAAGACAACTTAAAACTCTGAAAGTTGAATTTGGTGCTAGAGTAACTAACATAGGGTCCACAGGTAAAATGCAATCTCAAGGAACCTTTCCTACAACACTGCCAAAGACCAAGTGTAGAACAGACTACAGCTGTATTTTTCCCCCCAAAATCTAGTTTGCTGCCCTGTTCATATATTTAAAAAAATACTATGAATTTCTCTAAAAATTTTAATTTCCCAAATTAAACTATTGTTTCAGCTCCTATTAAAGTTAAAATGCCTGAGAAACACTTGTCTGGAAAAACATCTTTGTTCAAGAATCAATAGAAGTTATGAACCCATATATTCCAAGGCATAAATCAACCTCTCAATGATTGCTATAGTTCCAAATGCTCAAATCAAAGTCAAGATCCCTTATCCATGGTGTTGTACATACTTGTTGTAAAATCATAGAATCAGAACTGGAAGATACCTCAGGAGGTCATCCAGTCCAGCCCCCTGCTCTAGGCAGGAGCAATCCCAACTAAATCAACCCGGCCAGGGCTTTGTCAAGCCGAGACTTAAACACCTCTAGGGATGGAGATTCCACTACTTCCCTAGGTGCAGAAGTCACCCATGATCATACTCTAACTTACAGTGGGGACCGAACACCCATTCAAAAGCCTCTGTGAAACATGGGAACACAAAATTACTTAAACCCACCTTTGTGCTCAGATACCCAGCTACGCTGAGCAGAGCTCCAGTGTAGCAGAGGATCCAGGCAAAAGACTCTGGTTTCGATTGTTACTCAATTAAATGCCTGAAAAACACTCAAGAAAAAGAAGTCTTGTTAAAGATATTGTGATGAATGGGAGGGGTACTAATCTTCTCTGCACATTCTAGCCTGCAATTAACTAAATTGCCTATAAGAGTTAAAACCAAAGCTTGTGCGTCATATACAGTCTCCAGAGATGCTAGGGAGCAGTTCCAGGCAAAAAAGGAAGCAGATGAGAACCTCAAGGAGCTTGGATGGTGGCACAGAGTGACCCACCACCTTTTTGGTCTTCTAACAGGTTCATGATCATGGTAGAAAGAGGATTTTTATACAAAGATTCTTTCTGGTGAGCACAAGGAGGACTGGCATCCTCAAAGACAGCTGGCAGTTTCAACTATGTACAGGATAAAACTCTTGAGCTTAGCCCATGATCACTCTAGTGGCCATGCTGAAGTGAACTGTACCAAAGACCTATTGGGATGGTACCAAAGACCCATTGCACTAGGTGGGGATGGGCAAGGACATGTCCATGTGCAGTCTTGTGTGGCGTGCCAGTGGGTGGGAATGCCTCAAGTGCAGGACAAGGCCTCTTTCCTGCTATATTGTGGGGAGTGGCTATAGACATTCTGGGTCCCTTCCCTAAAAAGGACACCCAGAGAGATAACCAGAATACACTGACTTTTATGGATTTTGCCACCCGACAGCCTGAAGCACTAGGTCTAGCGAACATTAAAGCTCAGAGCTTGTGTCAGGCACTAACAGATATTTTGCCAGGTACACTGGCCCTCAGACATCCTTATGGATTTAGGAACCAATTTCCTGGCAGATAACATGGAAAGCTCATGGGGTGAACCATTTGGTTGCCACCCCTTACCACCACCAGACGAATGGCCTGGTGAAGAAATTTAATAGGAATTTTGGAGCAAATTTATTAATGAACACCCCAGTGAATGGGACCTACTGTTGCAGAAGTTATTGTTTGCCTATAGAGCTGTACCACATACCAGTTTGGGATTCTCACCCTCTAAACTTGTTTATGACCATGAGGTTGAGGGGCCATTGCAGTTAGTGATGCAGCAATGGGAGGGGGTTATACCTTCTCCATGGATTAACATTTTGGATTTTGTAGACAAACTACCAACTCACACCATCAGAAATTCTTCAGCTCTTGCTCAAGAAAACTTGCAGGACACTTGCAAAAGCAGAGCATCTAGCATGATAAATACGTCCTGTTAAATATACAAAATGCCTCCCTCTACAATTGAGAAAAAAAAAAATCACAATGCAAATGTGAGATCCGAGACTTCCAACAAAATCAGAAAGGACTAGAGATTTTACTTTTCCTGATAGTTTTGATTTTTAATAATGAATTTAAGGACAATTTTTAAAGCTTTCAGACCTTCCCCCCCACACACACACACATCAAAGCAGCAAAAAAGAACAAAGCTATTTTCACCCCTACTTTGAAGGTCATATTTAACAGCAGGATAACTTCATTTAAAATGTATTTAGAGTGGTGAAAAAAATACAAGGCGATTGTTCATTTTAGGTTAACGAAGAACAGTTAATCACTTTAAAGGATAAGTTTCCTCTTGAAAAAAAAATGTCAGGGTTAAATATATTCAATGTATTTTGAAAAATAAGTCTCCACACTAATTAGGCACATCAGTCTGACCTCATTGCACAGATTTACTTTCTGCACAACCCCCCAATTAAAAGTATATTTGG